TTTCAGCTCATCCCTAAATAAATGAATTGATCTTCAGTCTTGCTCTGCATGAAAAATATAAGAATTTAGAGAAAATACAAACTTATTGTGACGAACTGAGCCTTGTCACGTGTTCTTGGAGGGGTTTGCTGGCCAGCCTCTTACCAAAAGATTATGTGCTCTCTAAGAAACTATGTGAACAGACTTGGTTTGTGGGATTTTATATTTGGTTCAGGAAACGAACCGCCGCATGAACCAGAGCTTGTTAAGCCTAATTGATACTTTGTAGCAATTTCCACCACAGTGTTCTAAGTGTTCGTCTGGGTGGCCGCAATTCCTATGGACGACCACAAGGTGGCGGCCATCTTGTTCCCATGAACGCAGGCAACAGTGTTTGGGCATGAATCAAATGGAACTGAAAACAGACACAAAAACTCCCGAACACCGCTGGACTTCCAGCATCGCCTGCGTTCGGTTCTATAACACTTAGAAAGACGCTGTTTAGTGGAAACGTTCCCACCAACAAGGGGATCAAGCTCCAGGGTAAAAGTATTGACTCTGTTCGGTAGCTTGTTCGTTTTTAAACTACCAAACTAGACGGACTGCAAGCCCTTATTCTCTGGAACTGTTTTGGGCATGGGACTATGCGGGCAGGCGGTCAAATTATGACGACCAGGAAATTCCTGAACCCCTGAACTGATCTGGGTGATTTTGGGATATGTTGGTCACCCAGATCAGGGCTATCAGGGGATTACACTTTTGTGGGGGTTTTGTGTGTTTTATGGTATTTTGGGGGTTTTGTAAAAATGTATGTTTTCTGTGCCCGGAGATAATTGAGTTTAGTACAGTGCTGACTTAATTATCTCCCAGGCACAGGGGAGGGATTGACCTATTTTGTATGGGAGTGTCCTGCAACTGAGAGCCAATGTAACTGTGTGTATGTTTTTACTGTAGTCTACTCTCAGGTCCAGGGGGTAGTGCCCACTGCATGGGAACCTGCATATAAGGCCAGTTGTGGCTGCCATTAATCAGATTCGTTTTACCCTTCATGAAGTCTAGGCTCATGTTTGGGGGATTGTAGAGCTATATTCACATTCTGGGGATTGCTATAATCACTATACTCCCTTGGATCACGACACTTGCTCTTATAAGAGCAACCTGCATCACTCTCTGGACTAGGAGAGGTTTACCCCTACTGGATCCTGGTCTTGGGTCCAGGGTGGGTGGAGGACAGTGAGACCCCAACCAAGCTGCGGCAGTTTGTGGGGTTTACGGTGGTTATGGTGTTCGGTGCGATGTTTATGGTACTGAAGGATTACTAGGAAGCAGAGATTGCCGGCAGAAGGCAGGCTGTACGGACTCTGGATAAAGACTTGGAGTATCTGCCTGTTGTGTATTCACCCCAACAGCTGACAGGTGGAAATGCTGGCTGTGTTAAAGTTTAAATAAAGCTGTGGCCGTTGCCCTTATCCAACACTCAAGTGTCATGTCGTTACTGGGAGGTAACAGGTTTTCTGGTATTGGGTCAGCAGTCATGTGCTCAGTGTGATGAGCAGAGCTTCTAATGCAGTAATGGGAAACCTGCATGCCTGCGCAACTTGTTGCAATTCGCAATGACTGCGTTCCCAGAAGCACAATTCACAATAAAACACTGTGTACTTGTGAGGGTTTATGGAAACATCTGGGAATTTGCATATGTTTGCATGAAATGCCTTTCTTTGCCTTGGCTCAAACAGAAATACATTGTAATAAAATATATGGAAACAAATTGCTAACTAATAGTTAATTAAGTCAGCTTTATTCAAACATACCCTAAGCAATGATCTGTAAAGCTTTTTAACTTCATATGTTTTTGAATGAATCAGTCTGTGATTTCAGCTAAATATGCGACATTGTTTTTACTGTTTTCTTGGCATTTCCTGGCACTGCTCCTAGTGAGATGACAGTTTCTCTGACATGGGAATGTTGTGTGAGGCGTTGGAGAGAGGTTCGACAAACGCTAGACCCACATGAGTCGGGACACAGCAGATGCTGGCTGCGAGGGGCAGCAGATGGCTCCAGGATTAGACTGGGAAGGAGGGCAAGTGTGTAATTCTCAGTGTAAGCAGAGTGTAAAGTGGAGATAATAAATATTAATCTGAAGACTGACTCTTAGTCTCAAATCAGAACAAGGCCACGATCGCTTCTAAAAAAAGGGAAAAAACATGCAAAGCTGCAAAAGAAAATTAAAAAATCTGTATTAGTGCGATTACCAATAAAATGCTGGAAATGAATTCAAATATCAACTAAAATGAACGTATAACTCACTAATCTGTTATAATACACTGAGCTGTAATAATACAATTAGCTGTAATAATACACTGAGCTGTAATAATACAATGGGCTGTAATAATACAATAAGCTGTAATATTACAATAAGCTGTAATAATACAATGGGCTGTAATAATACAATAAGCTGTAATATTACAATGAGCTGTAATAATACAATGGGCTATATTAGTACAATGAGCTGTAATATTACAATGAGCTGTAATAATACAATGGGCTGTAATAATACAATGGGCTGTATTAGTACAATGAACTGTAATATTACAATTAGCTGTAATAATACACTGAGCTGTAATAATACAATTAGCTGTAATAATACAATGGGCTGTAATAATACAATAAGTTGTAATTTGATATAAATATAACACTCTCCAAGAACCATAAGCACTGCATTCCTGGTTTTCGGAGATGTAGGTAGTGCTTGGCACATAGCAGTCCCCAGGTAAGTTGCCAGATGTTTTGACTACTTACCCAAAGAGAGTGTCAGGGAGCTCCTGGTACCATAACCACTACAATGTGCTGTAGTGGTGTTGGTGGGTCCTGGGGAGTTTGTTATTAATATAAAAAGGAATGTTAAGAATATATCAAAGAATTGCAAATGAAGATTAAAATTGCTGACATGGAAAAATACAAATAAACAAGGTCCACAGTCCACGTGTGTCCAAAATAATTAGAGAAAGCAGCTGCTCTTTTATAAAATAACTGATAGAAAACGGTTAAAGAATTTGGATATTTTTGGACATTTTGTTCCCTTTATGACCATTTGGGATTTATTTACTAAATAGGAAGTTGCAGTCAATCTTCCAATTTATAATAAAATAGCAAGTTTGATCAAACCTCCAATCCAGTTGTGTGGAATCGTTTTTCAAACTCCGTTATTGTAATGTTCATTTCACAAGTCGATTCTGAATTGACCAAAACTGCTATCGAATAGAGACATATAATAATTCACTGCATATGCACAAAGGAGATGTAATCACTATAGTCATGTATATCCTGCCACAACAAATGATTTCACAATTCTTATATATGAAACGTGTGCATGTGAATAAAGTATAAAAAAAAAAAACAAACAAGGAAATGACGACGTGCGATGTGGAGTCAAATCGACGGCTTTAACTTGTCTATTAAATCATGATAAATCCTTAATAAGTTATTAAACTGACATTTGTTATAATGGGAATTGTTCAAAATCATGATAAAAGTAATATATATTTTACTACACATACATCATTTTTTTAAATGATTAATTTTGAGTATTTCCTGATTACCATTGAAGAATTTCATCCAAACGTATTCAGGTATTCAGGAATTCACGCACAGTCGTTGCCAAAGTGATAGTAAAATCAGGATGTAAATGAAAGTGGAAAGAACCAGGTTTTAATTAAGTGCTAAATTATTTAAATAATGGATACTGACGCGGCTTGCTGACACGTTAAACTTACACGCTGACACGGTGTAAAATGTGCAGTAACAGCCCGCGCCGTTCGGTTCTGGGCATCGAGATGTCAGACGTTTTTACATATCAGAAATAGCACACGCCAAACTTCTTCATTTTTTTTATTTTCAAAATACAACAGGGGGTACATATTCAAATGTTAATAAATGATGTGCTGCATATATTGCAGAACATGGAATTAATTACACTGACAGAAGACAAATATTAACTTTTCAGAGGAGAGGTGATCTGGGTTAATTTAATCAGTTGTTATTTAAAAATGAATACATAACAAAACACAATGTCATATAATGATGTAAATGATATAATGATATGTAACAAAGGCTTTCTATACATGCATGCTCTTGTCATTCGCTGATGATTGGCCATTCGACACAGCTGGTTTATAATATACTTTGTAGCCACCACAGCTCTCCCTCACTCTCCTGATTTGTTGATAGTATTTGTGATGGGGGAGTGGTACGGCAATGGGCACGCTAGGGAACAGGATATGCGGGGGGTGTAAATATGATTGAGTCGGTACATATTATTTAGAATACTGTTATGGCAGCCAGTATAATTTTATTAGAGGAGATATGACCTAGGGACACTAAAGCACTGGGTGCAATATGTCTTGATGAGGTAATATGGCGGAGATGTAGAGTCTGCAAAACACAAGGGGGGGCACTTGAAGGGAAGTGATACCAGGGGTCCAATCAACATGGAGGGAGTACCTTCCATACTAACCTTCAATGAGGAGTGAAGTAGAGGAGCACGGGAGAAACTTGTGAATTAGAATGATATGAATTCTCTTGAAGAAATATTTTATATAATTGTTTGCTTTTATTATAGTTTAGACTGAGGGCAGTGTGCTTGTAAGGGATAGTTTAGATTGAGGGCAGTGTGCTTGTAAGGGATAGTTTAGATTGAGGGCAGTGTGCTTGTTAGAATGATTGCCAAAACAAAAACAACAACAAAAAAAGATTAAAACCGAGGACAGGTCGTAGAATAAATAACATTTTATTGCAGTAACCTGACAGTCCCTGAAAAAAATCCCCCAAATAATGACGATATAACAAAATGGTTTGACAACAGCAAACAGAGAAAAATCCCAGATGCCACCGTGAACAATATTCCCACACAAATCTACTGCAAATAAACTAACACACTAATACAATGATACAAGGAAACTTCAATCTGACATTTTATGTTTGTATTAGGCCGGGTAAAAAAAATACAATAAAATGCAACAAAATCGAACAATGTTAATGAGAGCGTCTGTGCAAGGATTGTTATTGTGTGTGGATGTAATTCTGATTAAATTAGTATATAAACCTTTCTCATAAAATCTATGGCAAGACCAGGGTTGGCTACGGGATCTGAGAAGAGAGCCATTTCCTGGGGGCCTCAAATTGAAAATATAGGAGTTCTGGGATAGCAGGAAAAGGGTGTATTTTTTATGGATTTAGCTCCACAATCACTCTCAGCCATTGCTGGACTTTGGAAACGACTGCAGATTGTAGATTCTTTGACTTTACTGCAATCATGGGACATTCAGAGTAATGAGTGACGCAAGTTGTCACAGTGTACTGCAACTCTCCGGCAACGTGTGAAAACTACGGCGGCACTAAAAAAGTGTATAGAGTCAGAAATGGAAACTGAATGGATGTGTGAACGCGTAAAAAAAAACTGTGCTAAATATGTTTGGATTTTCGATGCAATTTTGCTGGCACGCCGTAGATGCCTGGCTTAACTGAACCCTGAATTATTTATGGGCGAAACCTCAAGCATCACCGAAAGGAAACAAACAAACAAAAATCTAATTGCTACATGAGGCAGAAAACACAGCCACGTCTTATCACAAAAGAAATTAAGTAAAGATCATGGGCTGATTTGCGCCACATGCAGCGAGTCCAGCTGTTGATGCTGTAAGTGGAGTTCATTATCTCAAAGGTTGTAATAAATATTTGAAGATCATAATCCTACAAACCCCAAAAATTATAAAAAAATAAAAGTGTTTTTTTTATTATAAAAAAGCAAAATGTGTTTAAAGCCTTTAAGGAAGTTTCCGTCAGCAGTGAAATGGTTAGAAATTGTAACAAACCCAGCGCTGGGCACAAGCACTTCCTCCAACATGGCCAAACTGCTCACATAACAACCACATTTGGCTGTTTGTAGTCATTTGGCAGCATCTAAAACACAGTCCTAGCGGGGGCGCTGCGTCGTTCTGTGCTGGGCCGATAGCTGCGTCCAGATTCTGTCCTGACTGGCTGTGTTCTGAACCTCCTCTGCATATGTTTGCAGGGATCCAGCTAGCTAACTCTCAGCCGAGCTGGCTATAATCTCTAAAGGTCATTTCAAGGGCGAGGTGCAATCAGAATGCCCCAAGGATAACTGAGTCAAAAAATCCTTTTTGGCTCCATAACTAGACTCAGGCTACATTATATTAATTCTTTTAATTATTTAGAGGACATCAGCGCTAGCAAAGTGCAATCATGTTATTAATCAGGATAGCTGCAGAGAGCGTAAATTCACTGATGATAATTCTTGCTTGAGATCTTTATATATTACTCACATGAAAGCAGAGGAGTAAATAAAAAATAAAAAGGAAAACATGTGAATGAAATACTATAAGTAAAAATAACAATGTAAATAAAAAATAGGAACATGTTGTGGTGCAGTTGTTTTGTGGATTAGAAAACGCAGGACCATAAAATCCATTAACGGGTCTGTTTTCTAAACCGGTGTGAATTGCCAAAGGAATTGCAAATCGTATGCAAAAAAAGGCAAATTGGAAAAATTTGCAAACTCAGCTTTTTTTCCAGATCGGCTACTTTGGCCTAAACTTTGCAATCCCTTTGAGAATTCTCAACAAACTGCTGGTTTAGTGAAAAAAAATATAAATAAAATGTTCTTTTGATTGCAAATAGCAAAATATTCTACATGAAATTAGAATAAACCGCAAACTAACAGCAGCTTTTTATGACAGAATGCGTAACTTGTAGAGCGCAGGCCCACCATGCTGTTCACGCAGTTCGGGTCCCTCGTTTTTAGATGCAATCAATAGAAGGGGGCCCTAGCAGGGTCCAGAGGACATATTGTGTTTCATGGCAGCTAGTTTGGAATCCCATAGCATGTGAACCTTTATCGAGTTTGTTGGATTAGAATCACGCAACGCTATGTCTTTATTTTAAACACGCCTTTTAAATCTCCATCTGTACAGATTTAGTTAACAGATTTCCATCATACACTTTATGTCCATCACTCAGATGTTTATAGAACGAACATTATCAGCTGAATTACTAAATTGTCGATATGTCGCCGCTATCACCATCCAAATTCAGCTTGGCATATGGGTCTAAACAGTTTTACACCCTGCTAGTTTATGTCATTTAATGAAGCGTGGATATTTAATGCTTGCACATAAAATATAAAAACCAAACAAACTAAAAATTATATTTCGACTTTTTAAAGCTGCTCGTGTGCTTTTGCAACTGACACTATAAACGATGAAAAGCCCTAAAATAATTTCTCGAAACCTCGTGCCCGGTCAATGTTCTCTACAACGGCGATAGGCAACACTGAACCATATCTCCTTATTTTTGGCTTGGAAATGTAGTCCAGTAAAAAGAATGTGTACATATCATTGAGTCTCTGCGTAGAATCATTGTATTGATGCAATGTTCAGGTGAATTAATCTAATATTGATTGTAAAATTATGGAAGATTCCATTTATAGATATGACTTGGTACCTTTCCGAACCAGCTGGATATATAAGGTAAAGTTCAGCCTTTTTAGAAATTCTGATCTCCATCTTATTCGTCTCATCGTTCTACCAGTTGGTGCGATGTCACAGGAAACCGCGGCCAATCAGAACGCTCAGGTTACCAAAAGCTCTCAGCTTTCCAAAAACTATGAACAGCTTTAAACCCTTAAGGACACATGACATGTGTGACATATCATGATTCCCTTTTATTCCAGAAGTTTGGTCCTTAACGGGTTAATTTGCTCACATAAACAATGACAGACATGGAAAAGGCTGTGCCCTGTTACAAAATTAAAATAAAAAAACCTGTTTTGCTCTATTCTATATTTTTATTACCGGAATATTTTGTAACAGCTATTATGGATCATGTCTTATAAACACGGACTTTCAATATTGGGCATGGCTCAGTATAAAAGAATACGATTGGCACTATCTCACTGAATATTGGCTCATTCAAAATTCTTAGACTTTTTGACAAAAGCTACGCCCACATTTAATTTTAGCCTCAGCCGGATAATGCTTCCATTAATTATTGTTTTCTTTTGTTTGTGCTTCTACTCTTTATTCCCAGCATCTTCAATAAATAGAAAATAATGTACTGTGATATCTATGTATCAGAAATATATACATAATAAAATCACATGAATGTTGCTCATTCTGACAAATTCATTCAGTTTCTCTATTTTGTACGAAAACTTGAAATATAAAGGCCATTTTATGTTCTTCTGTGCAAAAATAACATCTGCCCATCCAGTGTTCTCCATAAAAATATATTGTAACCAAAATATCCATCTCTAACCGGAAAGTAAATGAAAGGACTTTAATTTATTTAGATTAGGCCAGTTGGGACTAAAAAGAATATGCATTACAAATTTTAAAGGGGGTACATCACACACAAAATATTCTAGAATCACACCTAATCCATAACATCGGATATTCTCCACCGAAGACTTAATGACTCACCACGGAGATGTCAAGCCCAGAACACTTGTTACGTGTCACCAGATACATTAAAAAAATGTGCGAAAAGCGTGTTGGAATCATCTCCTCTACAAATGATCAGTCACTAAAGTGTCAGCAGTCAGGAATTCGAAGTGAGTTTATAAATACATTTTGGCCAAAAAAAAAGTTAAATGGAAAAAGTAGCTGTTTTTAGTTTTGCTATTTTCATCTAAAATTTTAAATTTGTTTTGAACTCCCAACAATTCACTTTTAAGTGAGCAAACCAGTTAGTGTTCCGCCCTTCGTAGTCTTTTCAGCAGTCTGAGTAGATGATAATCTGTATCACACATGTTGAATCACAACCATAGATAGTTAGAAATAAGACAGAAA